CAAGACAACACACAAAACGTAGTATTTAATTGCGCTATATATATTCACACAAAACGTAGTATTTAACCGCGCTATTCTTAGCGTGTTAAAGATTTTTTCTAATATAAAACAACCTTTTCGCAATCAGGCAGCTTTTCAGATCGACAAGACAACACACAATATGTAGTATTAACCGCGCTATATATATTCACTTATTTATCAAACATCTTCCTCCTCTGACAGTGTAGTTTTCTAATAATTTTAGAGTGAAACTCGAAAGTGAACGTAAAAATTTTTCGTTTTTTAATCCAATACTATTTTTGATTACATGAACGGCAGGGAGAAATTCATTAATTTACTCAACTGAAAAATATTAAATATCAATAAGATGTAACAAGGTTGTGGAAATATAATTTTATTTGATACATCTTGCAACATAAACAAGTACATACACTAATTACAAAAAACATTACGAAAACAAAACACTACGTGTATCCTTGATAGTTAAGCACATTATATGAACTTGCACCAGGAGCTGGATTACCACCGCCACCCAAACCAGCTAAAGGACATTTACGACGGTCGTGTCCTGTTTGCGAGCATATGCCACATTTACGCGCATAAACGGTATCACCAACATCCATTTTGTTCCGTATACGCGTCTCTTTTGCACTTGTAGCTTGCGCAAATAGTTCTTGTTACACAACATTTTAAATGGTTCCGGTGGCCAATAATGCTCAGCACCCACATGCTGCAACTGCCCACTATATGTGTTTAAGTATGCAGCAACACTGTATTGCCTATCACGTAGTTGGTTGGCCCTAAACCCGTATGTTGAAAGCACTTCATGGCATGTGAGCACGGCATTTGGTAGATGGACCATTTCCCACAAGAACACAACCTACTGGCTTCATTTATGTTGTGTACATTATTCCTCCGGTGTTGATGGATAGCGGTGCGAACTTCAAAAATACCCCGGTCGTCATCATACTGTAAAAATGAATGCCAATGTGCTCGCCTCCTGTATTTCTCAAATCTTTTCATCGGTATTGGCATGAATTCAACACCCCTCTCCATCAATTCCGATGCACCTCTATGCCTTTCAACAAACCTCTCCGCCATCTGTTTGAATGCCATCCGGACCATGGCAGTGACAGGCAATCCACGTGCAGACTTCAATAACCCGTTGAAAGACTCCGACACATTTGTAGTCAGGGTTCCCCATCGTCTGCCACCATCAGCATGCAATTTCCACTTGTGAAGCTCATGTCGCATCAACCAGTTATAGGCACTTTCATCTAACTGCCAGATCGATTCCACGCGCCTCCTGAATTTGCACTGCTGGTGATCAGTTGCAGCCATCCACATTAAATCATGCAAGTCCTTGTTAGGATTTTCTTCTGGAAATTGGCCTTCAGGTGCCTCACACAGTAACGGTGGTATGCATAGGGTTCCTTCCATTCAGGCAAATGCTCTACAGAACTTAATATACCACCATGCCGATCAGATATTAGACAAATACCTGAACGTTGTTTGACAACGTGCTGCTTCAAGTGGTTCAAAAATAGCGTCCACGTCTCTTGGCTTTCATTGGCACAGATGGCAAAAGCTAGTGGAAATATTTGTCCATTGGCATCTACTGCAACGACGAAAAACAGCTTAATATCATACTTTCCATAGACATGAGTACCGTCTATGAAAATTACCGGACGGCAATGCACAAAACCATCAATTGCTGGTTTAAATGCCCAGAACACGTATCTGAATAAATATTCCGGTATTCCTGCACTCTGCTCAAGCTTCCATTCAACAACAGTCTCGGGGTTAAAGTGTTTCAATGCGGTCATGTACCTGGGTAGAGATGCAAATGACTTATCCCAGTCACCATAAACAATTTAAAATGCACGTTTGCGCCCGAGATATGTCTTTCTTTTGGTAATAGTACACCCATATTCCTGGTGGATGGATGTAATACACTCTTTGATCTTGTACCTAATGGACACTTCCAAGTGTGGAATCAGTTGAAGAGAAATCAAGTCAACATCCAAGTTGAAGTGATTCCCATTGAATGTGTCCATTTCACAAACAGGGTGCCAATATATTTACCCACTTTCCACAACCCTATTTCCTTCTTGGTCGCACGCAGCATTCAGTGACAACCCGTAAACCATTTACGACAAATAACATTGTATACCTCCGAACTTGACTCCCATACTATAATCTAGGGGTGTGCATTCGAATCAGTTTATCGATAAATCGAATCGATTATTTGTTATCGGTTTATCGATTTATCAATTTCGATTTCGATTTCAAAATTTTCCTTATCGAGTTATCGATTTCGACTTCGATTTTGTCCTCTTCGGTTATCGGTTTATCGATAAACCGATAAGATATACAATTTTTTTTACCCTTATTCTATAATACCCTTTCCTTTACCCTAAGTCCCTAACCCTATTATTTCCTCTACCACATTTAAGGAATGATCATATTTAAAGCTCAAGGGAATGAAGTTCATATTAATGGAAAACAGAATTAACCGTGATGATGTATTTTGTTTTTTTTTTATATCGTTGGAATGTTGGTAGCATACATTTGATCCCTTACTTTAGTTTCGTTGCATGTGCTTGTTGACACAACTTTTATGTTATAAACGGTTTCCGTCTTATTTTAGCTTCTTTTTGTCCATATTAGTTAGGCGTGTTTATAGCGATATACTTTCCGTGGAATCCCGCATATTTTCTTATTGGTGTAATCGATAACCGAATCGATAAGCCCCAAAAATCGATAAATCGAAATCGAAAAAATTGAAACCTTACTGAAACGATAACGATAAGCATATGTACAAATCGATAAGTAATTATCGATAAGAGTCAAAATCGAATCGATAAATCGAATGCACACCCCTACTATCATCTCACGACACTCTCTTACGCTGTACATTTTACAAGCCCTGGATAGGCGAGCTTTATCGGGAAGAAATATGCCCTTTGCCAGCACCGTTGGTCTAGACTCATCCCACATTGCTGACCGAATTTCGTCAAGATCCCTTGTGAGGGCATCCACATCCGGCATACTTGGCAAATTATCAAGGTAGGGAATATGCCTTGAATGAAATGGCACGTGGGGCTCGTACACTCTTGGTCTAACGGGAGGTGGAGCATGCTCCCTCGTCAGCTCAGGTTCGACATTCACTTCCTCCTCATCATGACCCTCGTAGGGAAGGGTGTTTCATCTCCAGACTCATCGGCATTGTTGCCATAATCACTATTATCTTCCTGACTCCGTGCATTTACCAAATTCGGAGTAAATACGTCGTCTACGGGCAACTGAGTGAGGTCAGGACCATCAAGTTGCTCGTTTTCACTGCACAAACAACAAAATGATAAGCTACTCAAATTGATAAATACTTTACATATAGCTATATCACTTCACTTACAAGTCGTAATGTGTTGACATTCCATGATGGACATTATCTTGTTGGTGATGACTCCCGGGTGGACCACCGTGATCCAACACACCAAAACTACGCATATTCCAACTGGGCGTGGGGTCATAACTTGTAAAATTCATATCTGGAGTTCCAGTATAAGTATACTCCAGCATATTATAATGGAGTTCCAGCATAAGTATACTGGAATCCAGCATATTATAATGGAGTTCCAGCATAAGAATACTGGAACTCCAGCAAAATATACTGGAGTTCCAGTATAATATACCGGTCCAGTATAATATGCTGGAAGTTCATACAATGTGCTCCAATCTCCAGTATATTATGCTGGAACTTTCCGCGTGTTGGAATTCCAACATAATATCCTGGAAGTTCATACATACGTGCACCGTTCTCCAGTATATTATGCTGCACCGGTCCCCGTTGCAACAAAATTGTGGCTACTTTTCAATGACTTTGCAAATGTTGGCTATTTTTCAATGACCAGTCCAAAAACTGGCTAGCCCGTGCTATTTTAACTTCAAAATTTGCACAAACGCCCTCTTCTTAGGCTACTATCTAAATTATATCTCCCGTTAGTTCCCAGGGCTAAATTTGTCCGGCGAAATTCAAAAATAGCCAGATTTACAAGTGGTAATTGAAAAATAACTATAGTTTCAAACGTAATCGAAATTTAACCACTTTTTATGTAAAGATAAATCTAATCTAAACGAAAACATTGTTCAAAATACAAGAATATTCCAACATAATATACTGGAGTTCCAGCATATTATGCTGGAACTTTCGGTGTTGCGGCAAAATAGTGGCTATTTTTCAATGATTTTACAAACGCTGGCTATTTTTCAGTTACCAGTCCGAAAACTGGCTAGCCCGTGTTATTTTCACAAATTTGTCTGCACATAGACAAATTCATGCAACTACTTTTAAAGGCAAAGGAAACAGAATTCAAGATTAGCATCAGAAGGTCATGCGATGCAAATTATCTGTCTTGTGTTTATACCAGGTAAAGTTCAAAAATAGCGTTTTCGAATTTGAATTGAAAAATAACCACAAATTCAGAAGTCATTGAAAAATAGCCAAGGCCTTCTTCGCCTTCCACCTAAGCTGCGCAGGAAAGGCCCAAAGCCAATCCCAGGGAACAGTGAAGCTTCATAGGGTCTTTCTGTCCAGGTGCAGGTAGTCCGCATCTTCACAGACATGTCTATTTCACCGAGCCTCTCTCCGAGACAGTGCCCAGATCGTTACGCCTTTCGTGCGGGTCGGAACTTACCCGACAAGGAATTTCGCTACCTTAGGACCGTTACAGTTACAAATATTTGGAATCCATGACATTGTTATGGATTTCAAACTTAAAAAGTGAAACTCCATGACTATATCATGGAAGAAATCCAAGACACTATCATGGAGTTTCACCTTTTTTAAGTTCGAAATCCAATTTCAAAAATCAGGACAATATATTGAATTTTTCACTTGCTTAAGTTCCAAATCCATGACATTGCCATGGTGTTTCTGCACTAAGAGTGACTACTTCTCAAAGAATTTTCAAACACTACATATTTTTTAGCAACAAGTCTGGAAAATGGCTAATGGGTACAACTTTACGTTTATACAAGGACATTGCGTGCCCATAGCAAGATGTTGTCAAATGTACCGGGTCATCGTCCATAGGAAGTTGTACATTCTTATAACTTTGTCAGGACAAACACGTATGGATGTTTAGAGACATAACATAAGCATAATAAAGGGTGGTGTTGCACCGTTGCTATTTCAAAGATGCAACTTATGTCAAGAGAAACAAATGAATACATTAATATTTTGCAACGGTGAAACTATAGAGGGAAACCGGAAAACCACCTATCAACCATGGCTAGGCATTGTTCCGGCTTGTATTCTGGAGCTGTATGACCCCCGCCCTAAATTAAATGAAACGAAAGAAAGGAGGATCAAGATGTAATGGCTGTTGGTTTTAGAGTTCTTTTCGCGATAGGGAATGGTCATTACCTTAACAGTTGCATATGTCAGCTCATAATCATTTTGTGAATACTTCACCTTGTATCTACATAAACAAAGTACGAGTAAGATTAAGAACTATTTGTACATGTTNGGGGGGATTGGATAAGGAGAGTGGGAATAAGAAAGCGTAATTGCATACCTCACGAACTTTTAGTGCTTTCTGGACAGCTTTATCGTTTGCCCAAACGTAAGAGTATATGTAATTTTTTTCCTGGTTTTGGGGTTAAAAAAGTTAACTTGTGCACATTCTTGTATAATATACCAACAGAATTAATACAATACATGATGCTAACGAGGCCTCTTTAGGGAAGAAACAGAGACTTACTCGACACCATGGTCCTTCAATTGGGAACAGCGACGGGGCATTTGTAGGATTTTCTTGGAGAATGCTCGTTAAAAATGGCAGGTCACACCAAGGTTCTAAAATATGTGCCCGGCGTATGTTCTTGAGACACTGCACACATGCAATAATGGAAAATTTAAGTCTAAGACATCTTTGAAGATATATTAATATTTTGTAAGTGCAAAACGTGCTCCCTTACCCTATCTACTCTCTGAAGATCATTTAGACATGCTACATTATTCGGGTCGACCTCCGCGTAGTTTCCATTACAATTTGCTTTAGTGGACTACACAGTAACATAAAGAAGATTAACTGCAGAATCATAATGAATTGAAGGTAATATCTATTCGAACTACAATCAAGAAACTAATTGTTTTAATTTGAAGAATTCAATTAACTAGCAGTTAGTTTCTTGAATGCTAGAGTACAGAGCATAAGCTATTAGATCAGTACCTGATAGATTTTATCTGAAATAAGTCCCATACGATGAGCATATATGACTCTACCATTAAAGTCGATGTAATGATCTGTTAGAGCGTTGCCTTGTATATATCCCTACATTCAATCCAAAACCTCGTGTTTGAGGGCAGAATTTAAAATGAGAAGTATTAATAATGAGAACAGCAGAAAGAGATGTCGAACTGAAAGCATTGGAGTTTATACTTTGATATTCACCCGAGGCTTCTCACCAACTTCAATACCTTTAGAGAAAGAAAAAGGTCACAAAACAAGATAACAAAAAGACTGATCCTTAACTCAAGTACAAGATACAATACCATTGTATATTCTGCGAGTAAGCAGTGCGACAAAAATGCCTGAGTAGGAATCACCACCAACATATAGTGGATTCTTGAGATACTCGGGATGATCCATAAGCCACTACAGCACAAGAAGTTCAGTCTCGTGAATTTGCTTATAACAGTTTCATGCCTTTTGATTACCTTAAGCATTAGAATGAAAGTTCTGAACGATATTGAGACATGAGATATGAGATAAATACATGCTGTTGGAGAATAAGATTCAAACAGGGTTTTCCACTTTTTTTCATCAGGTCTCAAATCATTAAGTTTCTTCTTTCAAGATTTAGAATACAAAATGGATAACGAATCCCAGTACAACGTATCAAGACTTTCAGAACTGTATTAGAACCTTTATTCACATTTTTTAACCTAGCAGATCATGGAATTTTGGAATTTAGTCTTACACAGTAATGGAAATTAACCATATGTAAACAGTACTCAAGAGGAACAAAGATAAATACTCTTTCTCCACCTTCCCTATAAAGTAACATTTTCCTTTTTTATAGCGTGTCAGGCAACTAGCTGAGGGTCTTTCGGAAACAGCCTCTCTGCCTTTCCACGGTAGGGGTAAGGGTAAGGCTGCGTACATCTTACCCTCCCAAGATCTCACTTGTGGGAATTCACTAGGTTTGTTGTTGTTGTTGTATAGTGCCAGGCAACTAAAGGATATTATGTTCCAGAGTCAGAAAGGGTGCTTTTATTGGCAACGCCTTGACTTGACAGAAGATCACATTTTATTTTTATTCTCTGAAATATTAACTTTTATTAAGAATATGCATTTGTTATTAGCTAGCTAGTCTGAAACATCCAAAAAAAGGTAGATATTTAACCATGTCATGAAGATCACAAGAAGCAATTTTAGTTATACGTATAAACTCGATGAACTACCTTCACAAAGGTAGGGGTAAGGTATGTGTACATCATACTCTCCTCAAACCCCACTTTCTGGGATTACACTAGGTATGTTGTTGTTGTTGTAAAAGCTCGAAACATGCAGATAGATTTGCTCAGAACAAATTTCTCTCACCTTTCTAAGGAACTCATAAGTTAGAGTTACAGCCAGAGTATCGTTGCAGTTGTAAGCTTCCGAAGTCCTTGCATAGGAGTATCCTGAGCCAGCAGGTTGATCTATAAATATTATGTTTGCCACCTAGTAATTAAAACCAGATAATGCTTGCATAAACTAGTAACAGAGAAAATTCAAGCAAATGGTAAAAAGGTAAGGTTACAGAACCTTGGTCCAAGAATTTGAGTTCAACTCCAATTTCGGGAAATCTCCACTAGAATTTGCATAATCAAACATTAAAGGGCCTGAAAGAAGCATTAAGTGTCATTTTTGCAAGTTATTAACTTCTGAGGCACAATAATGCAGACGAGAAGAATACACTTGCCCAGAACATTCTTGTTTATTCCTCTTACTCTAATAAATGTTTTTTTATTAATAGAACTCCAAACCTTGTCGAAAAATATTCAGCATTGTGCATATTTTGGTGTTCCTCTACTGCTGCTTGGTAAAGAAAGAGGTAAGTGCTACATTATTAACTCTTACATGCGAAGACGATCAATCAAAAACTTCAAAATATCCAACACAATTTAGGCAAAGAAAAGGCACCAAATTATAGGCAAAACATTTCAGGTGACAAAAGAAACGGAAGTAAGAAAGAAAGGCCGATAGGAAAAGGAAAAAAAAAAAAAAAAAGCAATGATATAAAAATTTATATAGAAAGGAGGGCCTATAATTTAAAGGGTAAAATAAATATAGCATTTTAAAATCATAGGTCAATGACTGAACTTCGGACAGAAAAAGAGAGTATCTACCCATCGTTTCATAATGTACCCGTTTATAGTATTGTACCGTCTTATTTTATTAATACAATATTTGAATAGATTGACTTTTAACATAAGTTGAATGGAAAAAAGATTTTCATCTAATGAAAAAAATGATATCTTGATATGTAATGATAACACTGGTAATAGAGGGAATCTGTTTTCTTGTCAAAAAGAAGATTCGGAAAAGCCCGTCAATTCTTGTACTTATATCCCTCTTTTTATACTTTTCTTTTGAATGATACCCATGGATACTATTTTATGTGTTTGATTGGGCACAGAGTTTAAGAAAAAAGACTTTTAAAATTTATAGTCTAAAGTTTTAGACACTTTTGTGACTACAAATTATCTCATTAAAAGTAAAATAAGAATTTTACGGTTAAATTACTTTTAAATATAAAAAAATCATTTTTTTCGTGACAAATTAAAAAGAAAAGTGTGTCACATAAAATGAGACATAACGTAAATTCATCTTTAGGAAGGGGCTCAAACTGCAAAGGCAATTTCATCCTCTAACCTTCTTTTTTCTTTAAAACAAATACCATGCGACTATATTAAATGAATAATGATCTATAAACTACTGCCCTTACCCTCTGGTTCTTGTCTATTTTTTTTTTAATTAAAGTAGCTGTAAATATATATATATTTTTCCACTAGGATATGACCAAGAACCACGTGTATCATCACTCCTCGACCACTAAAGTGGACTATATTCGTTTAAAATAATAACACACCTAATCAATAATTAGGGGTTTAAGTCACCGCGAATTTAAGTTATATGGGTTCAAATCCATTATATTTTTAAAGTTATGGATTGATATCTATTACTCCCTCCGTTTCAATTTATGTGAACCCATTTGAATGGGCACGGAGTTTAAGAAAAAAAGAAGACGGAGTATAACCCAGTCAAATGGGTTCACATTAAAAGAGACGGAGAGAGTATTTCTTATAATTTTAGGGAACTTCTACACGTAAATCTATCCATCACATCGAAAGTGTTAGATTCAAATGAACCTGGTATTTTCAAGGTGCATCCGCCCCTGCCTTCAGGAGAGTTAGTTTTGGAATAACAATTTATTTAATTACTATAAAAGGTAACAGTATGGGTTGAAATCTGTCTGTATTTGGGGGGAAGTCGCATAGAGAAAAGAGTCAGTCGAGGTCGACTAAGAGATGGCGAAGCCCGTGGGCGAGATACAGACGATGGTCGATTTCGAGCATGGCTGAAAGAGCTGTAACGACTAGTTTATTAGAATAGGATATTAAAGAGAATACTCCATTGGATATTCTCTGCGTATGTACTATTAGAGTTTATTGGCGATATGTCCCATATAAATAGAAAAACATCAATGACTAAGGACATGTAATATTCACTTGATAAGAACACTTTTCAGAAGAAGATTCCCTCTCTTTAGCAAAGATACAAACTTTACCTTTTCATCAAGATTCTCGAGTCAATAACTCAAATGGTTACTCAACTATCTCAAATTATCTCCTAAAGTCACTTTTCTTTCGTTTGTAACAACAAAGTCACTGAACTATGCCTATTGCACTAAGAAGGTCACTCAACTAGATTTTTCAAATTTTGGATTGCCAAATACGTATTTTACCCTCTAAATTATAAACATTTATCTTCTTTTATTTTTTTTTAAACTTTTTAATATTATGATTTTTTCCTTTTTAATTTATATTATGGACTTACCTATAGAATAAATAAATATTATTTATAAATTAAAAAAATAAAAAGTATTTAAGAATCTATAATGCTGGAATAACAAAATAATGAGCATAGTAAAAATATTTTTTCGAATAATTTGTTCGTAATAATAATTTTAGTATTAACAACAAAAATTCAAAACTTTATTTACACAATTCAGAATGAAAAAAATAAAGGTTGTAAAATATATATTCCATGCACGTAATATAAAAATAATTATTTAAATAAAGGTATTCTTATAATATACATTATATATTCTTGAAAATTATACTCAATTATATTATATATATTCCATGCACGACTTAACATAGCATATTTTACCCTATACAGATAGTCCCCCTGCTTTCCGGTGACATAACTTTGTGTCGTCGGAAAGTTGTTAGAAACATAATAATATATTTGAGCATAATTTTCAAGAATATATAATGTATACCATAAAAATACATTTATTAAAATAATTATTTTTATAATACGTGCATGAATTATATATTTTACAGCCTTTATTTTTTTTCATTCTGAATTGTGTAAACAAATTTTGAATTTTTGTTGTTAATACCAAAATTATTATTACTAAAAAATTATTCTAATTAATTTTTTTTACTATGCTCATTATTTTGTTATTCCAGCATTATATATTCTTAAATACTTTTTATTTTTTAATTTATAAATAATATTTATTTATTCTATATGTAAGTCCACAATATAAATTAAAAAGGAAAAAATCATAATATTAAAAAAAATTTTAAAAAAAATAAGAAGAATATAAATGTTTATAATTTAGAGGGTAAAATAGGTATTTGGCCAATCCAAAATTTGAAATCTAGTTGAGTGCAATAGTAGTTCGGTGACTTTGTTGTTACAAACGAAAGAAAAGTGACTTTAGGAGATAATTTGGGATAGTTGAGTGACCATTTGAGTAATGAACTCCAAGATTCTCACTCATATTATTACATACTTTTCCATCAGATCCAAGAATAGTCCGAACATTCTAGGATTTACCTATCACTCATCATTGTCAGGAGGAACAATCATCTAGTTCATTCATTATTGGGTGAATTCACTCCTCCTATTTACTTAAATGTTATTTATTATTATTTATTGCTAATTATTCCTCCATTATTGCTGACATCTCTTTAGATATTCATTGGAAGTTATCCTTAAAACTCTGCCATATCTGTCTACACTTTAGTCACATCCTCAAAGTTTAGTATTTAGGAAAATTATCATTAACTAGGTTTAGTCATCCAATAAACAAGTATAATCGTTTTAACCGGAAGTTAACACTTTTTGGTCAAGAATTAACACTTTTTGGTCAAGAATTACATAATGTAATAAAAAATTTACAGCATACTTGATGATAAAATTGATGGAAAATTAAAAATAGTACTATGAAGGAAAAGGAGAAAATGAATTAAACATACCGATCTCATAGACAAAGGAAGAGAGGCCGGAGCAACCAGGACCTCCGGTGAGCCAAAGCATGAGAGGGTCATTTTCTGGGTCTCTTTCTGACTCAACGAAGTAGTAATATAGCTGCACTTTTTCCTCTTCTCCAACACCTACATAACTGAATCAACATACCAATTATAATTATAAGGGAGGCTGTTGGGTTTGGTTATCAGAAAATATGAAAATTGACAATACTTGCCCAGTTTCGAGTTTGAAAGGAAGTTTTCCATTGAAGCCTGGTAGAGTTTCAACAATGAAGTGAGACAAGACTACATAAGGAAGAAGTAACAGCAGTGGAAAAACAATGACACCCAGCAGCGATAGCATTGGAGATGACAATTGGAGATAGCTACGAATTCAGAAATTAAGGAAATTAAACAATGCGTTTTTTAATTTGGGAAAGTTATGAAAAACGAACGGTGCTGAGTGGCAGATGTCGGAAAAAATATAGCAAAATAGGACAATGGTGATTGACACATGTGGGGTTTAACGTGAATGCCTTTTTATTTTTTATTTTTTTATTTTTATGTATATAAATAAATAATAGTACTAGCATGCACAGATGGTAGGTTTACACGTATAAAAAATTGTGTATATAAAAGAAGCTGCATTTTCCTTATTCAAGTTTTAAGAATATAGTATTAAATCTCGTACAATTGCCAGTAAAGTTGTTGTCATGTGATCAGCAAATCATGCATCGAGCCATGAAAACAGTCTCTTGCAAAAATGCAAGGTAAGGTTGCACACAATAAATCCTTGTGGTCCGGCCCTTTCCTGAACCCCGCAGATATCGAGAGCTTAGTGCACCGGACTGCTCTTATTTTTTTATTACTAATTTATTTGACAAGTTTGAATCTAGTAAGTGAAATAAGACAATATAATCCTGCAGAAATATAATGGCCAATCTTGAAACCTGCATGATGCCGATCGTGATATCATTGAACCTTTAAACTTAAATTTGGTAGTACTATATATTTAAAGTCTCAAAAAGCATATTATATTTATTGTTAGCAAATAGAAATTAAAAATAGAAGTCCTATTATTCTACTTATAAGCAAACAGAATTGACCATACATTATTGATGAGTTCAACCGAATTCAACATTTTTAGCACCAAGCATAAATTACACGTAAAAGAGTTGCTAAAATTATCAAAAATATGAAATTCAAAATTCAAAATTTCAAAAGTGTAACAACTTTAATGATAATAATCTTAAAGATTAAGTCATCAAGTTTGGATTCTTGATCCTCACGGGAGCGTAACTTCTAGATCTTGGATAGACAACCTTATTATCATCCATTTCTTTGAAATCACAAGGCTTGTTTTCATCAATTATGCCTAATCTTCCTACCCCAATGCTATAGCTTCTCATAGTAGATTCTGTCGTTTGCTTCTTCACTTCTCTATTAAGCCTTGAATTTTCATTATTATTGTTGAAGCTCTTTGGCAAGTGAGGAGGTATTTGATGTGGAATTGTACATGTCACAACATTGCCTACTTGACCAACTTGCTGAGCACAATCAAACATGGTTTTCATGTACAATTCTCTGGCTTTAACTAATACTTTGAAAGGTGACACAATATATTTAACTACCTTGTTCTGCTTCTTCTTGGCCTTGGTTCCCATTTTAGACTCACCAATGTACCAAAGGCTTTCGAAACGACTTTCAGTAGCGCCTTTAGAATCTAAGTATTTTTATGAAAGTGAAATTAACATAAGTTTGGTATGTAGAAAGTGGTCAGAAAATGGATTGTGGAGAATTTGTAATATGAGGAGTAATGTATTTGTATGCTTAAGGGAAGATATTTTGAATTAGACGGCAAAGTTTTGAGACAATGGACAGTTTCAAACATGACTAGCTATTTATCATTGTTATAACCGCTTCGTGATAGTAATGACACCCAAATTATGCCAAAGAGTAGGAGACAGATTGTCACACAACACACACATCTAACTTTCTTTTCTATTGTATTAAAAAAGTTTAAAAAGTTTCTGTTGCGGCCAAACGCACTCACGCAAGTGCACGTGATCGTCAAATAATAAAGTAGTGAGTAGAGTATCGTTCCCACGAGAACTTGTGATTAACTATTAACTAAATTAGACTATCCTAATTATCTATACAAGAATTAAACCTAGAAGTATTTGATTCTAAACTAATTAAAATAAATAATGAACTTTGGACAGAGAAAGAGCAGATTTTTATGATATCAATGTAATGAAAACGATCTAGGGTTATGGGCTATCTAACATTCCTATTGTATCCTTCAATTGAATTAACTAACTAATTTATCTAGTTTATTGGTTGACAGAGTTAATATTGCTCATAAGAATATGTCGAGTTCTTACTCGCCTATTCAAGCTAACCTAACGCCTATATGTCTATGGAATTAGAATCAATAAGAACGCATTTATAATTCCTGTAAATCAACCAAGCAAGGCAATTGGGTATATGTCTATCCCAATTGCTAATCCGTTCCCCGAGGCCCAGGTTCAAGAACTTGCTCTACTCAATCCTATATGCAATATAGAATTCCCACTTTCGAGTTCAACTCTAGATTCGTAGATAGTATTCAATTGGTGATCAAGCAATCAAATAATTAAGTGCGGGATTGAATAAATAAACCAATATGATAAACTAAGAAATCAAAATCAATATCTGAATAACAATAGTCATGAAAGAACCTGATCACGCCCAACTATGCCTTATAAAAAGGACAATGCGGTCGCTGCAAATATAATCTGGTTTACAAGTCCGGAGTCGAATCCCACAGAGAACTAAGGTTTAGCTACAGCTGTTCACTATCACCAAGAAGACAAGCTTGAACAATTCCTAACTTATAGATATTAAGATTCTTGTGTTTAACTACTTAACTAACAAATTAAAATAGTAAGTTAACAACTAACGATATTGAGGGTTAGAGAAAAGATTAAGGAGGTCTAGAGTTATGATTTCCCCAATTGTCGGAATCCTTCCCGCTATGTCTTCTATAATTTCGCCTAAGTATTCTCTACCGATCATGAGCACTCTTATTACCGTAAATCTCTCCCGAGTAATTAGGACAATTTACTAGACGCGCTCTCCCGAGCTATGCTACCTGGCTTTTAATATAGCTCACTTCAGATCGCATCCAAGGCTTCGTTATCCCTAATCCCACCTTTAAACCCTCGGTTATTGATCCCTCATATACTCTGGGAGTGGTGTTGTTCAACAATTACCTAAATATGCACTCTCTCCCGAGTTATGCAAACTAAATGGGCACAGCTAATTGAGAGCTCTTCAACCAACCACAATATAAACGTAGTTGAACAAATAGAGAAAAGCTATGGCTCAATTATATAAAGACATAACAAGAATTTATCCTACAAAAGGTTCTATCAAAACTCTAGATAACAAATTAGCTATTCATAATAGTATGTAAAACTACAATACTAAAAGTCATAACCAACAATGAAAAATAGGAAGAGGAAGGAAAAAACTCGTAGAAGAATTCTCCGCCTTGCTCCCAATGTGTTCTTGCCTCCAAGGGTGTTGTCTAACCCTAAAGTAGTGTCTCTCCGCCTCCTTAGGTCTAATTTGTGTCCAAAATATGTCCCCCTCCTCTTGTTCTTGGCCGGCCTCCTTTGTTTATTATAGGGTTTAGGACTTAAAATCCCATGTTTTGCACTTTAGTCCCTGAAATTTTCGCTTCCTGCCGCGGTTTTGCCACGATCGCGGTGGAACCGCGGCCAAACATGCCCTCTGATTCTTCAGTTGTCCGCGACCATCTTCTACCGCGGTTCTTCCGTGGTTGCGGCAAAACTGCGGTTTTTCACCCTGTTCCTTTTGGAATTTAGAAAAACGTAAAACATAAAAGTTGTAGCCCTTTGAGTTAGCTTTCCAACCATATATTGTGGAGCCCAAATGGAGTTCTGAGCAAAAAGTTATGTCATTTTACTAGACAGTGCGCAATATGCCTCATTAAGTCTTCGTTCGTACTTAATTATCAAATTTTGACCCCCGAACACGATCCTGACTTAATTCCTTGAGCTTTTACTCAGACTTCAAAGCTTCAAATCACTTAAATTCATTCCATAACATCTATATAGCTCGGAATCACACCTACAAGGCATAAAACACACAATTAGTGCAAAACACTAGCGATAAAGCGCAAACTCAATTAAAGTGCAGTAAATTCGAGTGTAATAAGCGACTAAAATATGCAATTATAGTCTATCATCAACACCCCACACTTAAACCATTGCTCGTCCTCGAGCAATCAAACTACACCCTTTTTTTTTGTAGACACGACCTTTTTAAACAATTCTCCTAACTCATCACACCAAGAGTATTTAAAATAGACTAAGCACAAAAGCGTAACATCTTCACATCAAAATTTGACTCACAAGTACCACACGTTATTCACAACTCACCCACTTACTCTAATATAGAGGTCACTGACATTACCTTTCCTTCATGTATCAAGTGCCCTCACACAACAAAAGAGAGTAGTTCCACACAATAAAATTTAAGAACACTTGGGAACTCAAGATAGAAAGAATCTACTCACTCTCAGAAATAACATTCATATGCCACAAAAGATGAACCATAAGCTTGCCCGTAGTGTACTACTCCACTAATCGAGCTCATTCAATCTTGGATCAATTAGGACTTTATTTGGTTGTAATGTAGGCTACGGGATGGGTAGGATTCATTTAGATATAAGAGTGCCTACACCTCCCTAAGCACTTTAATATATATACTTTAACATTCAAACCCCATACTTATGTCAAACCAAAACTCCACCTTCACATCAATGTATATTACCCCATTCTTCTTTAAGCACACTTACATCAAGAGCCACCACTTATCAAGGAATTTTTCTTTTCACAAGAATCCAACAATTTTTTTTTCCAATTCAAGTAGCTCTTACTTTTTCAAAATAGTGCACCTTTCTCCTTATTTCATTAGTTCCACTCAAAAGCCAAACCAACCACCCCACACTTTAACTTTTACATAGTTCATAATAATTCACGTGCTCATGAGAGGTTACAATGGTTCAAATAGATGGTTAATTCGAAGAAATGGGTAAGGCTTGTAATGTGGTTGCCAAAGAAACATGATTACAGGCTCAAAGGGGTTAACTACGATACATAATAATTAGGCGGGTAAAATATACATATCTGGCTCAACAAGAAAACACCTATATCACTTCCAAGACTGAACAACACTACTATTTCGCTTTGCAAACACACGGGGCAAGTTCTAGGCATCAAATGCACTTCACAGAATATCACAAAACCTTACACACACATGGCACATAACTCACTCAGGATTGGATTCATCAAGACACCCTAGTCAGAGCAGTTAAGCAAATTTAAGATCATACAATTTAAGGTACTTATACAAGAGTCAAAAACTGAGCCTAAGCGTCACAGCCAAAGTACTCACTATTCTCAAGTCATAACAAA